TAGTCCTGACAGGGGCGAAGGGAGCCGTCCTTCTTTCCTACAAAGAAGAAGCCTGAGGCTTGAGGCAACTTCGATGGTTGGATAAAATCTTTCTGGATATGTTCATCCAGAAATGCTTTAACCTGCTTCTGTTTCTTTTGGAGAGAGCGGGTAAGCACGGGAAGATTTTGGAATAAAACCTTCCTTCATTTCGATCCGGTGGTCTACACCTGGTCTCGATGGAGGGAGCTTGTTAAGCCCATCCTTCTCAAATATATCTGCGAAGTCGTGAAGGTATTCAGGGACGAGCTCTTCGAATGGTTTCTTCTTCGTTTCTTGAGCTTTGTCCTTGGCGAATTCCTGCGCCTTGTTACTGGTTTTCGTGTACTCCTCCTTTGCCGTAGCAAGGATCCAAATGTTGCGAAGGGGAGTCTTCTTGTCTTCGTGGTCTCCGTCTTGGAGGTCCCATCCCTAGTTAGGGGAGTGTCGAAGGTGAGGTTCTCGATCAATCTGACCGAAGAACCATCAGCCGAGTATTCTATAAGAATCTCGTCATCAGTCAAGGGGTAAGTCGCGACTTCCTTGACTTCGGGTAGGGGGATCGATCTTCCCTACCCAGACGTCTTCCATGACGTCAGGTTTCTTGAGGCATTTCGAAATGCTTTCTTTCGGCGGGTACCTCCTCGGTAGGTTTTGCCTTCTTCGTCTTCCTTTTCTTCTTCTTGCGTCGAATTTCTTCGAGTACGTGTTCCGTACCCAGGGGGAGTGACTTGAGAGGCTTGAAAGGTGCCTCTTCCTTCGTCCTCGATCATCAGGTCGGAGACCTTCGAATCGGTAAGGGGTTGCCCCGTTCTTTCTTCGAATTTTGTTGAGTAGATTCTCAATGTGTCTAGATCTGGGTGTGGGGAGCATTGTGATTTTGTTGCGTCCCCAATCGATATCCGGTTTCATGGCGGATAGCCAGGGTTTCCCTAGCAGGATTTCGTCTCGTTCGGAAAGTCTGGTGACGTTAAACTTTCCCCACATGGTTCGTCCGTCGAGTCGGACAAAGAGCATGCAGTATTGAGAGACCTTCCCAGCAGTGGATTGGCTTCCATCTACTGTAGTGATGCGGAAGGGTTTCTTCAGGAGGCGGGTTTTAATATTGTGCTTCTTTATGAAGGTGTCACAAATAAATGTTCCCCCAGCCTCTGAGTCGATGATGGCTGTTGTTGCAACGGTTTTCGTACTTGTGGAAGAGAAAAGTGTCACCGGGACACGGAATTCATTTTCTTTTCCTACAGTATGAGTACACAGGATATCTAAGGAGGGGACGCACATTGCTTTTGCGGTCCTCTGCTCTAAAAATCCTCTTATTCTTGGAGCCGGTTGGTCTCCATGTCGTCTCTGGAGCTTTCGTCGTCACGCTGGTCTCTACCAGTCGTTACCAGAGTCTTTCCTTTGGTATCTTTCTTCTCTCCACGTCGTATCTTCGGGTGGAATCTGGGGTCGTTGGCTCTGTGGCCATGCTCTTTGCATGAGAAGCAAAGGCCCTTTCTGTAGCAATCGTCTTTCTCTGCCTGAGAGAGGGTGCGGTCTACGTCCATAGCGTTAGGGATCTCTGGACGATGAGACATTGGGCTTGGGGTAGTGCTTGGAACCGCGAGGGGCGTATCGGGAGTGTTGGTTTCGGGAGTTGGCAGAGACGGCCTTGCTCCTGCGGTAGTTAGCGTTGAGCTGAACCGCAAAAGTGTACCACTTTTTGATAGTGTCAGGAAGTGTCTCCTTCCTGTAGATTGCTTCACGAAGGCTTGGGTTCAGGCCTTTCTCAAAGAAGTGTGAGAGTGTCACGCCTTCTTTGATATTGGCGATGGTAGCCAACATTTTGAACTTCGAGATGTAGTCCGTAACGTTGTTTCCCATTCTGAGTTCGGCGATTTCGGTGAGGGCATTCACCTGCTTATCAACGGGTTGAAATGCAAGGTTGAATCCTTTCTCGAATTCGGCGAAGGTTCCGAATTTCGGAGGGTTGGTGCTGAAAGCTTTGCGATAGAAGTTATCAGCCCATGCTTTAGCGCTGTTCTTTGTCATTAATGACAGGGCGACTGAGACCATGGTCTGCTCGCTGCTGTAGACAGTGATATTGATGAGAAAATATGTCTTCAAGCTGTAGAGCCATCGTTGCGCGTCGTCAGTGTCACTGTCGAATTCCATTGGTGCTCCTGCTTTGAGTTCAGGAGCGCGGACTACGACAGCGGTGGAGGTGGATGATGGGTTGGACATTCTTGTCTTCGGATTGGCGCTAGTGTTTCGGGGAGGTACTTCATCTGGAAAGTCCTCTTCAGAAGTCGGAGTGTTTCCTAGATCTTCTTCGTCGTTCAGTCCCTCGTCTGAGTGGTACTGTTCTGTCGGTGAGGTGGGAGAGCTAAACTGTCCGTCTACCTCTTCTTTGTCAGGATCTTCCTGATTCGGGTCGCGCTCCCAAGAGAACTTGCGTGTCCAGGGAGTGGTCGTCTTGTATCTGTTTCTGTCCTCGATAGGTGTCGAGGGCTAGAAGGTAACTTGAATCTTTTGTTACGACTTGGATGGTATCTGTTGGCGACACTCAAACAGAGCGTGTGTCGTCAACGGTCGAGGACGTCCTTGGGCTAGCCCAAGGTTAGGGGTCTTACTTGGTGAGGCTTCGGCAAGTAAGATTTGACACCTATGTCCAAATCGGGTAGCTTACGTCAAGCGGGTGTGAGACAATAAGCTATATCGGCCTAGGCTTACGACACCCGAAGGTTAATCGTAAGATCATCGTTAATTAGAAGGACAGAAGTCCGACTAGTTAACAGGGGCTTTGCTCGTCGATGAAGTCGATGAGTAAAGATCGAGACTATAGGCTTATCCGCGAGGAGCAGATAAGAAGATAGAATATAGACTGCTGGCGAGGCAGAAAGGATCACTCTGGTGAGAGTAGGAGGTCAAGAACCAAGTAGATTCAAGTTGGGGAATACAGTACATGGTAGCGAGTTTATATAGAGGACAGGAGACGTATTAGTGGGTGATAACTTCATACTACCAAGAGAGGCAATTGGTAAAGGGTATAACCATAAAAGGAAGGCATGTTCGCGTCGAGACACGGGCGAGGTAGAACGTGCTGGATAAGAAAGTGAGTCAAAGATCGAAATAAGAAGTGAAACGCGCAGGGGCACGATCGTGCAGCTGCGGAGCTAAGTATAAGTCGCATGTGCGACTGCGCACTGAGTCAGAGATCAAGAAGGGGAAAAGGACAAAGGGGATGTGTTGTGCATCATATCATAGGTTATTGTCCGGACGGTAATGGCAAGGGGACTGTCCACAGGATCAGTCAGGTGGTGGAACGGAGCATGGGTATGCTTTGTCAGCGAAAGGATCCAGCCAGATGTACTGGCTCTGCTGAAGCGACAGGTAGAGGGCGAAAGGGAATGCGAGGATGACGAGGATAACAAGGGTGAGGTCGGGGTAAGGGTATGATGCGAGGGCTGATACCAGAAGGATGAGGAGAAAAATGGTAGGGGCCCAAGCGTCTAGATGTTCTTGTAACAGACGTGCAGCACCTTCAGCGTAAATAGCAATGTCACCACCAACAACAATAGCATTACGGCCATCCCACAAGGTGAATTCAACCCAGTTGACTGTGTTGAAGAGCGCAGCAGTGGAACCATAGTATGCATTCTTGGAATCGATACCTTTGATGTTGAAGTTACCAGATTCAGAGAAGAGGTCCATGAGGGTGGTGTTACGACTGGGATAGTTCTTCTGTCAAAGGTCAAAGATAGACCAGTCGAGTTGACAGTTCGTCGGCCTTCCTAGTACAAGGAAGGTTTCTGGTTCAAGGGTTCACACTACACGAGCGCTGCAGCTTCTATGTAGGATCAGCGGCGAATGGTTTTAGCACTTCTGCCTAGGCGGTGAGTGGTTTTAGCACTTCTACTGCAATCAAGGGTTCAGGCTAAGACAGTGAGTGACTGTCTTAGAATCAGGTATCAGGCTACAAGGGTGGAGACCTTGTAGATCAGGTTTCAAGGGGAAAACCCAGTAGATTAAGTTAAGGAATATAGCTATGGTACATGGGGTTTATATAGGTAAAAAGGAGCGGCGCAGCCGCGACAAGAATGGTAACAAAGATAGGTGAAACCACCATGCGGTGCAAGATAGTATCTATGTTACAATCAAGAAGAAGGGAAGTGCAGACAGCCCGCTTGATAAGAGAATATCCAAGTCTAGATGAGTCTAGAGTCGGCTAGAATCGGTGGCATGGTTACAAGAAGAGAAAAATGAAATAGGAGTAAATGTTGTATTCTACACAAGATCGAGATTCGAGAACGCGTGTAGAATGAGGTCTATGTGGCGACACAGCCTCTCGAGTTTTTCTCACACTTCTTGTTTCGTACTTCTACCTAGTACTCACAACGCCTCCACTGCTTGATAACGCTCTCGTTTCGTCGCACCCGCCCTCCACGTCCCTTTCAGCAGCTGATATTATGTTTAAAAAACAGATTGAAAATAGAGATTAAAGAACTAACATTAACAAAAATCTACTCGACGCATTAGTTTCTAGTCCAACGGAATCTGAGAATTCTACGCAAAATGAGCTGCTGATGCCCACCCACCCATCACAGCTCACATGGACTTTCTCCACAGATAGGAAATGGTGTTTCGGGTCGCGAGACCCTGCGGGTCCGAGCCCAAATAGCTACACGAACGTTCTTGTTACCGTTTGTAAAATCAGAGATTATTGCTTACCAATATACGTGATTTTACTCGCTAGACCAGAGAGCAAAAGCTACACATAGATTATTGTAACAGGTGGTCTTTGTGGGCCGTCTCTGTAAAAGCTTTGGGATCCAATTTTGCATCTATTGAAATGCCTTGCTCAATTCTCTTTTCGTGATTGGGGACTGCTATTGAGCAAAAAGAAGGCAAGTTCTTGATGCATAGACAATGTTAACCACCTATATTGTAATGCTTCCAAAGTCTTGTGGCAATACTGTAAGCACAGTTTCTTCGCAGGTAGATTACTGACCCATGTGGCCCTTCAGCCAAACATTCTTTGTTTTGGCTTCTTCTTCCTCTGTTCGTTGGTAGCTACACTACATAAGCCTGTGAAGCATAGACATACAAGAAAGTACTTACTACTTGATGAACCTAACTGATGAACAAGTCAGTGATGGCACAATCTGTTTGAAATGTATGTACCGGCTGTCTCGCCAGTGGTGCCAAAGACATGTTTTTTCAACAGTGTATCTTCTGGTAGCTCAAGGCTGTGGGCAATAAGCCTGAGAAATATATATATATATGTATCAGAGTCTTACTGAGCACACCAGGATGGATATATGTTTACCTCAGGATAGGATGTAACACATTGAAGTAGTTGTGATTGCTAAACTCCTGTATCTCAGGGAGGAGAGGGAGAAGGGCTTCTGGGTGCCTTCGCTTGGTTACATCATGATGGACTAGAGTGAGGTGAGGTGAGTCTATAAAGATAAATGCGCACCACATACTACAGTATTGTTCAAGCTGGTCACACACCCAACCATTGTCATACTGTTGGATTTGATTAACCAAATATTCCTCTGTTGCGTGATCCACGACTGTTACGTACCACGTACTGCACTGAGGTATATCCTTGGAGCATTCCATTTTGCTTTCTTGTCAAAGGATAATTTTGCTTCTCATCGTCAGTGACAGCTGAAAAGGGTACGTCTGCAATGTCAAACATGCGAGTCATCTGAGTCAAAATATGATTAACATTCTACGTGATGTGAGAAAATTGTCTTGCTTGAGTTTGCAAATATCCATGATTCACAACATAGAAGAACCCGAGGTTCAAGAGAGCCTCCCGTAACTCAATTGCAAGCACAGCGTGACCATCTTCGGAGCTGGCTTTCAAAATGTCAATGATCGCGAGGTCAGCATACTCCACTGTTGATGTATATGTCAGTGTTCTGCATTAAGCACAAGACCTCACACACAGACAGTTTTGACCGTTGCTCCACAAGGTGATGCATTTTGTTCAGCTTCAGCTTCAGCATTGCAGTTTTGACACTTTTTGATGCAATCGGATTGCACGTAAACTGCAATGGAGCAAGATCAGTGTTATGGGTGTTTGTCAGAAACTCAAGTGCTGGGGCACTAGTTGGCAGACGTGTACATTAGGAGAAACATTAATGAATGATGGTGTCACACGTGACAACAGTGTCGGCCCCTTGTTTGTCAATGTTCACCACAATGACTACACAGACACACTGCAACAACTATCCCACTTGTATATATCATATCATATCAACTTCCTCATCACTACATGCCTCCAGAGGCCAAAAAATGCTGTCACCATGCACCTTCTTGCTATAAGTTCTTGTCTTGCTCTCGCAGGGAGAAACACTATGCCTCTGCAGACCCTAATGAAGCACTATGCTCTGATTCTGGGAGCTCAGACTCAGAGGCCGAGGATGATTCACAGCTTTCTTCCATGATCATCTAGGATGCCACAGCATCACACTCCTCCCATCATGCTAACAAGGACAAGTCATCCGACTCTAAGTCTAGTTTAGATGGAACCTCCTTGGATGGGACTGCCACATCAGAGGCTCATGACTTGTATGATTTTGATGAGGATGACATGGACCATCATTCCATCATGACTCTTGACAACATGATTCTTGAGCTAGAGGATTGGCAAGGTCTGATGAAGACAAGAGAAACACATGAGCTTTGTATGTATTCACATTTAAATATAACTGATAATTCTAATGTAACCTAGGTAATGTTATGACTTGGATGGTATCTGTTGGCGACGCTCAAACAGAGCTTGTGTCGTCAACGGTCGAGGACGTCCTTGGGCTAGCCCAAGGTTAGGGGTCGTACTTGGCGGGTCTTCGGCAAGTACGATTTAACGCCTATGTCCAAATCGGGTAGCTTATGTCACGCGGGTGCGAGACAATAAGCTATATCGGCCTAGGCTTATGACACCCGAAGGTTAATCGTAAGATCGTCGTTAATTAGAAGGACAGAAGTCCGACTAGTTAACAGGGGCTTTGCTCGTCGACAAAGTCGATGAGTAAAGGTCGAGACTATAGGCTTATCCGCGAAGAGCAGATAAGAAGATAGAATATAGACTGCTGGCGAGGCAGAAGGATCACTCTAGTGAGAGTAGGAGGTCAAGAACCAAGTAGATTCAAGTTAGGGAATATGGTACATGGTAGCGAGTTTATATAGAGGACAGAAGACGTATTAGTGGGTGATAACTCGTACTACTGGGAGAGGCAATCGGTAAAGGGTATAACCATAACAGGAAGGCACGTTCGGTCGAGGTAGAACGTGCTAGATAAGAAAGTGAGTCAAAGATCGAAAATAAGAAGTGAAACGTGCAGGGGCGCGATCGTGCAGCTGCGGATCTAAGTATAAGTCGCATGTGCGACTGCGCACCGAGTCAGAAATCAAGAAAGGGAACAGGGCAAAGGGGATGCGTCGTGCATCATATCATAGGTTACCGTCCAGACGGTAAAGGCAATGGGACTGTCCACAGGATCAGTCAGGTGGTGAAACGGAGCATGGGTATGCTTCATCAGCGAAAGGGTCCGGCCAGATGTACTGGCTTTGCTGAAGCGACAGGTAGAGGGCGAAAGGGAATGCGAGGATGACGAGGATAACAAGGGTAAGGTCGGAGTAAGGGTATGACGCGAGGGCTGATACGAGGAGGATTAGGAGAAAAATGGTAGGGGCCCAAGCGTCTAGATGTTCTTGTAACAGGTAATGATATGCTCACTGACGAGGATCGCAATAACATCTGTGCATTCCAGCTGCCTCTTTTCAGTCCTGTAGCTGCCATCTCCGTGGCAATGGTTGCAGCGGCAGCCTTGCCAACAGGATGAGGATGCAGTTTTCTCACGGTGCTTACGTTTTGCTCCTGGATGGCAAGTTTATCCTGGATAGCTGCAACTTTGGCAATGCCCTTGCCTCCCACTCTTCCAGCTAGTTGGGAACATTTCTCATCGTGTATTTGATCGCATGCGGCAGTCCTTTTGGCACAAAATGACAATAGACTCTGAATGGGTCATTCTGCGCCGCCTTGGAACATTATCAGGCATCCAACCAATCAACTATGATTGTTGTATTAACTCATGTATTGCATATACTGATGACTATTCCCATCATATCCAATGTCCTTTTTGCAATGAATCACGCTATAATGCTGGTGGACATGCACGGTGACATTTTTCATATCTCCCACTCATTCCTCACATTCAAGCATTTTTTCAGAGTCCAGATATGATACAACTGCTTTCATATCGGAAGAACTATGTTGGGGAGCCAGCTATCATTTGAGATGTCTTTGATTTGGAGTGGTATCATACACTCTGTCAGACTGATGTTATGGTTGATGATGTCAAACGGAAACACAAGTTCTTTTCCGGAAAGCATGACATAGCGTTCTCGCTGTCAATGGACGGTTTTCTGCTTTTTAATCATTGTCGAAGTGGTCTGTTGGCAACACCAATCCTCTTAATAAATCTTAACCTTCCTCCTCTCATCTGAACACACCTTGAAAATGTTCTGTGTCTCGGTATCATCCCTGGTCCCCATCAACCTAAAGATCTTGCTTCATTTATCTGCCCTCTCAACAACAAGCTTGCTGAACTTGCTGATGGTATTCAAACATTTGACACATCCAACAAAACCAACTTTTATCTCTGTGCCTATAACATTTTCAAGAACAGGGATATCATTGCCATCAAGAAGCTTTTGAATATTAAAGGACACAATGGCTACTCTCCATGCAGGTCTTGTGAAATCAAGGGTGTTCGCAAGATCAGTGCTGGAGGTACTAACTACTACACACCGCTCAAGACACCTCAACGAGAAAATCAAACCTGCCAATCATATAATCCCCTCAATCTCCCTTTGTGCACACATGAGGGATTTGTTAGTGTCCTCAAGGAGTTGGATGCCACAGTAATGAAGCATCAGAGAGAGCACCTTGCAAAAGAACATGAAGTAAAGGGCGAGCCATCACTTCATCGTGTCAATTCAATTGATTATGCCAATTGTGCACCTTGGGAATGGATGCACCTATTCCTTGAAAACATCATTCCACAACTTGTTGACCTCTGGCAGGGTGTTACAAGATGTTGGATGTTGGCAGTGAGGATTACGAACTCACACCACATATCTGGGAAGAAATTGGCACTGAGATGGCAGCGGCAGTGAAGGAAATACCTGCTGCTTTTGTGCGAGTCCTAGGAAATATTGCTGTTGATTGATCAACCTTTACAGCTGAAGCTTGGAGTTTTTGGTTGATTCACATTGCACCCATTGTGCTTCAAAATCGTTTCCCGCGAGTCAAATACTACACCCACATGTGCAAGCTTATTTCATTGATGAAGACATCCACCAAGCTCGAAATCATGACACAAGAGATCAACGATCTTAAACAAGGCTTTGCAGAGTAGGTCAGAGAGTTCGAACGGTAACTAAATCAATTTTGATTCAAAATGTTCTCACTTGATACCAACAGCTACTACTATCAATTCAAGGAAGATAGGTTAGCAGTTTGTACACTCCCAACTGCACATGTGTGGACCTGCTTGGGTCCACTGGACATTCTACATTGAGCGGTATTGCCTGCACCTCAGGACTGGTCTCCATTCAAGATGGCATCCATGGAGTGGCCTTTCCCGTGTGGTGTTGTACACTGCATACCTTAGTCAACTCAGTGTTAAGTTTGACCTCCAAGATGAACTCAAAGACCTCAATCACTGCTGCGGACAACAAGAACTAGAGAACGAACAATCATTTGAAAACTGTGAGTTGTGGAAGTCATAAGTTTAATACACACTCAATGGGACCAGATCCCCAAATGGTTTTACAAACACTGTGTCGTTTGAGCTATGTACCTGATGAAGACACCCGCAAATGAATCGGACGGTATCTCTTTCAGGTTCTTGGAGGGCGTCACAAGGACCTTGCAGTGCACTTACCATCTGTGATGCCTCTGTGGGGCAAAATGCAGATAATTGGTGGGGGTGACTCAATCAGGACCAAATATGCTCTGATGGGTATGAGTAATGCAAAGTATTGTGACAACTTGTTTGTCTGAGTAAGTGTATTCACCTCATGTGACCACAGCTGACACATTTTTTATCATAGTTTGAAGTCTTGTATTCCGATGCAGGAGAATCACAACCCATCAATGTGATTAGTTATGGCCGGCTGGATAAGATTTTGATTTGTGAACTTGGCGAACACAAAATTTACAGCTTCCTTCGCAATACAACACTCATCCTTGCACTCATAACACCATGCAACGCCGATGGAACAGATGCATCAATATCCTTAGTTGGATACAAAGAGTTTGTCTCACCAGTAGTTACGGATGTGCGAAACATCAAGGCAGTTGTTGGCCGGGTACAGACATGAGGTAAAACCTTTATCATTGACCAGTGGTTAGCACCCAGTGGCAATGAAGAGGTTGCAGATGATTCAAATACTGATTAGTGTCATGTATATGGAATTTCATTACATCAGCAAACTACAAATTTCATGACAGACCATACAAGGTGTCACAAGACATCACAGATCTTATAAGCTTGACAGACATATAATAAAATATTACACCAATGCTTCTAAGCTTATTATAGTCTCTACTAGTGTCCTTAAACTACTATATGTCATTGTAATAACTGAAAATATAGTTGAGATATGTACCATTAACTTGATTGAACCTTCTATAAATACTAAAATTGCGATATATCCTGATTCTGTGGACCGAATTTGATGAATGTTGGATCATATTAAAGCCCTGATTTTGCTGCATAAATCAGGATGTGAATTAAACAAAGTGTCTAAAAAACAGCTGAGATATATCCTAATCTTTATTGTACAAGGTCTATCATCCTCAAGTGAAACAGGATTTATATATATTAAATATAGTTTATCATTCAATTACATTTGGATTAAGCTACTGTACTAGAATTTATGTAGTAGTGAATGGTGGTGGTGTAGTGATAATTGAGTGGACTGACTTAGTGAAATTTTCGCATTTTTGTCATGTGGCTGGTATATATATTTAATATTGTTAAGATGTATGACTGGTCTTGTGGCCTAGTGGTAATGATGCTGCACACATATTTGATTGAAGGCTTGAGTTCAGTCCCTGCCAATTGCAAAATATAATGTGTGAAGTTGATCATGTGATGTGACATGTCACGCAATATATTAATCTTTTGGCATGTGTTCTGCGAAATTCACAAGCCCCACAAGCTTTACAGGCCATACAAGGTGGCCTTGTACAGTTTATACCACCATGTACAGGAGGGACTTAGCTGTGGGCTTGTGAGGCTTGTACAAACTTGTACAGACTTGTACAGGGCTAGGGTAGTTTGCTGATGTACGAACCAGATCAATGCTTACCAGCACATTGGCAATTGCACGCACTGAACATCCAGCATGTTCTCGCTCAAGTTCCCACACCTGGACTCTGAAAGCCCAAGCCTGACAAAAAAACTCCTCTAGTACTACTAACATGGGATCGCCATACCAGTCAGAATACCAGCAAGGAGCTGAATTTGATTCAGTAAATTTTCCACTGAAAGGATGGTGCTGAATTGAGAGTGATCGACTGAAATTCAGAATCAGCAACCCAATGAAATTAACTGCATGCTGTTTCAGTGGAAGTTACTCTGAAATATTCAGCACTAGTGCATTTTCCAATGCTTTTAATTAGAACTACTATCTACAGTGTTCACTTGTTGCAATTCTTTATATACCTATACAATTTCATCATTGTCATTTCATGTCTGATCAAGTTGATTATCTTGCAATTTTTTCTCAGTCAGATGCCTAAGTAGTGTCAAGTAAAAATGAAGTAACTTGATATTGTCTTAGCTGACTTAGCGCAATTTTTACATTTTCAAGCTCGGTTAAGTGAAGTGTAGATTTGCCGATGCAAGTATATAATATCCCGCGTTTGTACGAAGCTCCCAGATTTCTTTCAATCACAACTAGGCTTACATCTGGTTAACATTGCAAAGGGACTCTAAGTTTTCTCATTGTGCCGTCATCTAAATTTCGCAAGGACTTCTACCTGCCGTCACAGGTTGCCATAATGGCTCGAGATTGCTTGTGTCCAGTTGGTTGAGTTTGGTCAGCATGCCAAACTTTCGGTGGAGCTGCTATGTATGAGTCTCGTGCATGTCTTCGACTCGGACAACATCGTACCAAGCAGTGCCTTCTGACGAAGGTAGTTTGCCCGCCAAACCCGCTTCTCGTTTTACATCTCGCAAGACACTTTTTCTTTCTGGATTAGTGTTCTTCGTCCTCGCGTTTCTATCGTATAAAGCGTTCTTCTCGTGGTCTGTTCAACATCCGTCTCATCAACTAGATTCTTCTGCGACTAGTATCAAAGCATTAGAATCTCAAACATCCATACTACCAGCACCGAGTGATACTCTAGAAATGCAAGGCCAAGGAAAGTACAGCGTTGGATAGTAAGTGTTGGCCTCCTCCACAACGATCTACTTCTGACTGTTTAGCAGCTTCGTAAACTGGTACGTCATTTCATCGGTCATTTGAGGAAAATCTTGACCTTTCCGTCAATCATTACTCCTATTTGTAGGGGGATTTACGGTCGCAAGTTCCCGCCGTCGAACATCCCTGTCCAAGATTTGACGTAAGGCGCTGTCTTCCTTACATTTTCAAGCTTACTATCCATCCAGCCACATTCTCTATGCATTCGCTGATCTGAGACCTGACACGGGCGAAGTTATTCTCTCTGATGCATGGGCCGACAAAGATATCCACTACCCTGGCGATTCTTGGAATGACGTCGGAAACAACCTCTACGGGAATTTCAAGGCCATCTATAAATTGAAACAGCAAAATAGACATTTGAAGGTCCTTCTCTCGATCGGAGGTTGGACATATTCCCCTAAGTTCCATCCTATCGTCGTCAATCCTACCCTTCGTGCCAACTTCGTACGGTCCGCAGTTCGTCTACTCGAGGATTACGGTCTTGATGGTCTCGATGTGGACTATGAATATCCATCCAATGAGCACCAAGCTCGTGGCTATACCGACCTCCTAAGGGAACTCAGAGTAGGCTTAGATCAGCATGCTCAAATGAAGGGAATCTATCATAGATTCTTGTTGACAGTATGCCATGCAGTTTTACCTACCCCGCCGAGCTTTATTTCTTTTTGCTAGATTGCTGCTCCTTGCGGACCCGATCACTATCAAAAGTTACACGTCCGTGAAATGGACCACTACCTCGATTTTTGGAATATGATGGCGTACGACTTCTGTATGTTCTGAAATGTTTGGTTGCATGACCAATCGACTTACATGGAAACATATCACAGCTGGTTCATGGGATTCTGTTGCGAATCACCAAGCCAACATCTATGGTGGACCTATCAGTGCCTCACAGGCGATTGGGTGGTACAGTGCGAACGGCATCCCTCGCTCCAAGATGGTCCTCGGGATTCCGCTATACGGTAGAAGCTTCATGAACACGTCCGGTCCCGGAGCACCGTTTTCCGGCATTGGACCAGGCAGCTGGGAGCAAGGTGTCTATGACTACCGCGCTCTTCCGCTCCCAGGCACATACGTGTTTCAAGACGACAAGGCCCTGGCGAGCTGGTCTCACGACTATCAGAAGCAAGAGATGGTGAGCTTTGACAACGAGCAGGTCGGTCATTGGAAGGGTGATTGGATCCGCCGTGAAGGTCTTCGAGGAAGCATGTTCTGGGAGTTAAGCGGAGACAAAGGAAGCGCGCGAGAGGGAATGGAAGGCGGGTTTGGAAAGGACCCAGTGCCCGGGAGGAGCTTGGTTGCAACCGTCAAGAACGCCATGGGGCCATTGGACTTGAGCCCTAACTGGCTAAGCTATGAGGGCAGTCAATTCGACAACCTGCGCAGTGGTACCATTTAGCTTCATCGATTGCATCACTTTGATCACACAACACAAGAGGACTCGGACATCTTTTTCAGGACAATTACTGTAACATCACTTTGCCTTCAAGCATATTTCATCGACTTTGTATGATAGCAGTCCTGTAATGTCACGCAGCGTGACTTCGTGACCGCCGTGATGAGCACTGCCAAAAAAAATTAGTGGTGGGCGCATCTCAGACCGCTGCAGTGCCCTCGGCTTCCAACTGTATTTCTCATTTCACGACCTATAGATTTTGGACAATAATCGGGGGCATCCTACACTGAGATTCGACTTCAATCTCACCTGTATCATCAGTGCTCAAGTTCAAATAGACCGGTCGACTACGATTTTCCTTCTAATCGCACAATTTATCCTAGGACCTATATCCTGAGTTTTTCAAATGTCCCCCGCTGTAATGACCTCTTCTTTGGAGTCGGAATTCGCTTCGATCATCGAGGCTTTGCGCACTGCACCATCTGGCCCAGGTCTTCGTCCCATGACTTTCTTGTGAGATAGAACTCATGATAATCTGTGTAGACGCCAAAGCAGCAGCTGACAAGCTCGCTCTTGCTGTTTCTAAAGCAGGTATAGAGAGCTTGGTGTGCGTCCATTTTATCTGCGACAATATAAGATAGTTGCATCTAAAGTTTAACAGTGACCAAAATGTAATCACTATCCTTGAAAATTTCGCACTCAACAAGAAGTCTGGATGGGAACGAGAATCTGGTGCTATTGCATTCCAGTCATTCCCCGCTGTTCTCGGTCCCCCCAGTGCACCCCTACTTCTCCCAAGCCTTCATGTTCTCTTCGATTTATTGTCTGACAAGGGAGAAGTTGTTCGGACAGCTGCAACAGCTGCAACGAAGGCTATCCTCCAGCTTCTCCCCCCAGAAGCTACACGAACCGTATTCGGCATTTTAGAAGATATCCTAGAGAAAGGAAAATGGCAAACAAAAGTCGCAGCCCTAGATGCTCTCAAGAGTTTCGTGGCTCGCGCTAAGGACTCAGTGGCTGATGAACTTGGTCATATCCTACCCAAGGTCGAAGTAGCAATGCACGACACAAAAAAGGAGGTGCGTCATGAATGTACTTGCGCTAGTTTTCTCCGCCGAACGAATTACTGCAGGTCGCTTCTGCTGCCGTCAAGTGCGCCACTTCTTTGTGCACGACGCTTGCAAACCCCGATCTCGCTCCTCACATCTCCGCTCTGGTTAAGTGTATGTCTAATCCCGATGCAGTACCTGGTTGCATAAAGGCGCTATCATCAACAACTTTCGTCGCGGAAGTTACAGCACCAGCGTTGGCGGTTCTCGTACCATTGCTCCTCCGTGCTCTTAATGATCGCAGCATGGAAGTGCAGCGGCGTACGGTTGTTGTCATCGATAACTTAGTCAAACTGGTCAGGAACCCCGTAGTTGCCGCGAGATACCTTAGCCCTCTCGTAATGGGTGTGCAGAAGATTGCTGAGGGTGCTGCGTTTCCGGAGGTTGGCTATACCCTTTTGTATGCTTTGCGAATCTCATCTTGCCCTTTACTAAGGTCCGTGCCTTCGGTGAGACGGCACTTAACACATTACTCAAGGCGGGTGCATCTACCTCGGGGACGCCGCCGACGCGGGATGTCAGCAAGGAGGTAGCTGACGTTGTTGCCGTCTTGCTGTCGCTGCTTCCGTCAGACCTCGTTATCCCTTCCGCGACTAGCCCAAATGCTCCGTTATCTGCGAGTCACCCTCTTTTGGATCAATCTTTGCAATTCCAGGGGTCCATGGTTGCTGACCTTATCTATAATCGCCGTTTTCAAGATCCGGAAGTATGGAAACGTTGTGTCGGTGTGTATATGACATTCTGGTTGGGGTCAGAGGGATCTACTAGCTTTGCGGAGTCTGCACGGGCCCATTTCAGTGCGATTGATCAAGTATGTGCTCTTGCTCTATTTTGCGAGGGAACTTTTCATCATCAGGCACCATCCAGGCACTACACAAATCTGTGCACGACAATGAGGGTAGCGAGGGCGAGCTTCTGTGTGACTCATTGTTTTCTCTCGCTTATGGTGCACTTTTACTGCTCTCGCACACAACACTCCGTCTGTTCCGCGGGCGCCGTTACGGCATCCTCGGAACGAATGGATCAGGGAAGTCGACCCTAATGCGCCAGCTTCGGGACGGCAAAGTGGAAAATTTTCCGCCTCAAGATCAATTACGTTGTGTCATGGTAGAGCACTCCTTGCAGGGCGAGGACACGTCTATGTCTGTGTTAGACTTTGTGGCGTCAGGTCGGTGCATCTATTCGTCATCATTATACTTAGTGACAGCGAATGATTTTCTGCAGACAAGGCTCTGGCACAAATTCCCCGTTCTAAAATTCGAAATCAATTGCTTGAGGTGGGATTCGATGACGCTCGGCAGTCAGATGTAGTAGGCGGGTTATCTGGTGGTTGGAAGATGAAACTGGAATTGGCCCGTGCAATGCTTTACAATGCCGACCTTCTTCTTTTAGATGAGGTACGAGATGGTTCGACGCTACTGTTTTAGGTTAGCTCACTCGCAAGTATTTTTTGCCATGCAGCCCACCAATCATGTTCGTATCCGGATTATCCCCATTTTCATCGGCTGACGCTTTCCTGATAGTTGGACCGGGCATCCGTTCAATGGCTTGAGAGTTATCTCATTGCTCACAAAAACGTCACTTGCCTAATCATCAGTCACGATTCTGGGTAAGTAGGCTAACCCAATCCTGGCACTCAATCGCTCAATCTACCCCCACGTGACTAGCTTTTTAGATAATGTGACTACTGATATCATACATTACGAGTCCAAGAAGGTAAGGCGCATCGGTCGATATCGAAGGCCGACTGACTTACTCCCCTCTATTGTAGCTCGTCTATTATCCGGGAAATCTTTCATCGTTTGTGGAAAAACACCCGGAAGCTAAATCATACTATACCCTTGCGGCGACATCCGTTAAATTCTCATTTCCTCCGCCTGGCTCCTTGATGGGTGTTCGCAGTAACACTCGTGCCATATTGAAGATGTCAAATTGTACTTTCACGTACCCCGGTCGGCCACAACCTTCGCTAATAAACGTGTCTTGTGGTGAGTGATAATTCATACTTCTATTTGTGATAAAGCCTCATTGACTCCACTTCGCAAGCCTTATCACTCTCCAGGTGGGTTTGTGTACACCTCATGTTTGATTGAACGTGTTTCACTGTAATGCAGCCGAGTTGGTGTAATCGGCCCTAATGGCGCAGGCAAATCGACTTTGATCAAACTTCTGACGGCAAGAGTGATGATCTGATCGATGGTGTTCCCTTAATCACCTATTTATTCCAGGGCGAAACCATTCCTCAAGAGGGAACTGTCTATAAGCATCCAGCCCTTCGTGTTGGTTACGTCTCACAACACGCCACCCACCATATAGGTAAACCACTTCAGCACTGACTATACCAAACTAACATCATTTTAGAACGCCACTTGGAAAAGACGCCAATTGGCTATATTCAGTGGCGTTTCCAGGATGGTCACGATCGTACGTATTTAAACTTAAAGCGACCCTGTTGTGTCTCATTAATATAATTTGCCAATCATATCAGGTGAATTACTGGAAAAGGCCACTCGTGTTCTGACAGACGAAGAGAAGGTACTCCTCGATCAAGATTGGGTTGGCAGGAATGGCACCAAGCGCAAATTGGAGGTTGGTATTACTTTCCGTTGTCGATCTGATCCATATACTAAATTTATACAGCTTATTATGGGACGCCAAAAACTGAAAAAGACATTCCAATATGAAGTCAAATGGCGTGGTCTTGACCACAAATTCAACACCTGGGTGCCTCGTGATGAATTGATGGCCAAAGGTTTCGTAAAGTTGGTCCAGCAATTTGATGATCTGGAATCCTCGAGAGAAGGTGCAGGGACTCGTGACACATCTGCCCAACTCGTGCGCAAACACCTCGAAGACATCGGTCTCGATGGGGACATCGCGCAGTATAATGAAATTTCGGGATTGTCAGGAGGTGTGTAATCAATTATTGAGTTTGTTTCAACCCCACTAATCTCCGACGTTGTCAGGGCAAAAAATCAAGTTGGTCATTGCAGCCTGCCTGTGGAATAATCCCCAGGTTCATTAGACGACTGGTTGTCATGATGACGTGCTGACGTTACTTTGTAGGTTTGTATTCTTGACGAGCCGAGTAATTTCCTAGACCGTGAAGCGCTGGGCGGCCTTGCGGTGGCCATTAGGGAATGGGGTGGCGCTGTGGTGAGCACTATGAGATCAGTACGAACTCTAATCCACAGTTGACATGGAGTGCCTTAGGTCATCATCTCCCATAATCACGAGTTTGTATCGGCTTTGTGTCAGTCTTGACGTTGCATTTCACGTACCTTTCTGATAGAGTCCTCCAGGTCCTGAAATCTGGCAGATTGAAGCAGGGCGGATGACACATCAAGGAAAGGCTGCTGTTGTCGAAGATGCCTTTGCCGACTTGAAGTCCCCCAAGGGCAGCGGTGCTAATACCCCAACTCGCTCGCGAGTTCAGAGCCCGGCTGTTTCGGCTCATGTAACTCCAGCAGGAAGTGGAGCCGAAGACGCTGGCGCTTCAAAGGTTGTCAAAAAGAAGAAGAAATTGACACGCAACCAAGTGAAGGCTCAGGAGGAACGTCGGAGGTTGAGAAAGCTCGCGTGGCTCACTCATGGTGGTCCACGGCCTGAGGACACCGACAGCGATGTCGACCCTTGAGAGATCAAAGAGGTCATGTGAAATTTGTGCTATTTATCAGGGGCCATTTCATTCTGATCCGCGGATGCTTTTCGACAAGATCTCTTATAGATTACCTTCCTCTCATGTTATGAAGTAATAGATTTTCCGTTTTGCCGCGAATTCGTTCAGCAGATTTTTTCAGAAGTCTCATTGCCACGTAGTTGTAGGCGATAAAAAGCCGATTCTTTTGCAACGGGGCACTAGATAGCCGTGCCCACGCAGGTCCACGCTAGTGATAACGTGTCGAGCGCTGGCTGTCTGTGATCGTTGTCAAACCTGCAAGGCCAATCCGATCATCGGGACATGTGTTCGAGGAGGTGAATAGCCGGACAACTAATAATATTACATTAACGAATTCAGACATTAGTGACAATCATTATTCGGCAGTCCCCGGAGGTGTTCCCCCAGTCGGCGTTATAGGATGAAATTCATAAATTACAAACTTCGCCTCCAATGCTTATCTCCAATACATTCCTTGCTCCTGAAAGCGATTAAAATAGCGCCACGGTTTCAGCGCTTCAAGCTTCAGCCGCGGACCGTCAGAAGTTTTTTTTTTCTTCATCAGAAGGAATCACATATGAGGGGCTACTTGCCCGAGTAACGAGTTGATCGACAAAAAAAAATTGGTTCCTTCTCGCGCGATTCTCAAAATTGTTGCTACATGAATATGCCAAGGGGACTCCATGCCCGTGGATTTGGAAACTGAATCCTGCGATCGACGCGGCGTGACGAGGGAGTTTTGCTGGACACCTTGGTTGCCGCTGATGCGGCGGTGAACTCGCGCTGCAAGCAGCCACATGACATCTTATCGATGGCATTCGTGCCGTGGCAAACCTGTTGTATCTCACGTATTGCTCATCAGTGGAATCGTATTAAACCGAAGTATACTTAAAAGAGTCGATGGCGTAATTCACGGCCTTCTAACCGCGCGGGGCGGACATCCGTAGCAAGAACAATGTTGAGTTTTCAGACGTGTACGTGTGATCAAACCAGAGATGATAAGAACGTGATAAGTACATAAAAAACTACGGCGACAGTGCATCAAGGAGGCAGGTACATGTGGACGGGTTGGAAAAGGGCATCAGATTGCGTGGGGTGATATGGATATATAGAATTCAATATGAATGGGTATTAAGGGGCTGACGAGTAAGTTAATACGGTGATAATGAATGATCGAGGTCCTAATGCAAAAGGATGACGACGCTTCTGTTGTGAGGAATGAATCTAGCTGAAATGAAGGCATGGTGTTTAGACAACCATCAAATATTCAGTAGCGACCAGGCTGCTGCCATTTGCGGGGATCTTCTTCGCGCCGATGGGGGATAGGCGACCGACTGTCCTGCGCCACAGACCGGGCGTCCTGAGTCGATCGCGGAATGTATGATGTATGTGAAACAGACGTGGGGCTAATGCTACCGCCACCAAATGAATTATGCGGCACTTCGTCTCCTTGAGAGGACATGCTAAATGGTTGATGAGGAGTCGACACTGATGTTGACGACTGGCGGGTAGTCTGTCTCATTGACTGCCGTTTGTTTTGAAACCTATGGAAAGGCATGAACATCGATCTTGTGATTTGCTTAACACACCAACCAGATCTGAACGCTCCTGGCTGACATGTCTAATTTCTTCGCAAGTTCTGCGCGTTCTTCAGTAGAAGGAAACGCAGTGCGGGCGTATGTCTCATTCAGGACTTTGAGCTGAGCTGCGTCAGCTCTCTTACGCTTTTTCTTGATAGCAGGTTGATCGTTGTCCATCATCGGAGCAGGTTCTTGTGTTAGTGCAGAGTTTGTGATTGGCCCTCGGGCGTAGGGAGAAGGACCATGGGCCTCGACTTGCGTAGGCATGCCCCGCTCGGACGGATACATACCCATCGACATTTGCGGTGAATGATGCATCGATGGGAGCTGATTTGAATGATGACGTGGATCAGGGACGGGAGGATATGAGTATGACGTCTGATTTGGGTAAGGAGCATACTCGGTTGGGTAGGTTGCGGTCGGCGAGCGAATATCACCATAGTTGGAGACAAGTGGTGCGACCGCCCCGTAATTGCCCTGATATCTGTCGGGCATATTTAATGGAGGGAGCTTGCGAGAGCCGTGGGAATCGACCGGGATCGTCGGCGAACTACGCTGTTGATAACTTGGGTATGGTTGAGTTTGAGGGTATCGGTCATAGTGTTGTTCATAATAACTGGAATGCTGTGGGGGAACTGTTACCGCTTGAAGTGAAATTGATGAGTGTGCGATCGGAATGGATGATGTCAGACATACTAGCGGGCCACTGACCATAGCTAGAGGAGCTATGATCACTTTTTCCAGGAGATGAACGTTGCTGGGAATATGGAGGATAGTTGGGAACTATACTTGAGTTGAGCATATTTGCATGTACACTAGATAGAAAAACAGACCTGAAGAGGGTGAGGTTGGAAACGCTGAAGAAAGAGGAGGGAGCACAGTTCGCCCACCCTGTCCCGTCTGAAAAAAACCACTATTTTGAGAATCCCCTCCAGGAGGGCTTTTGCGGGCCTTTGAAAGGTTTGAGAACAAACGATCGTCCCTCGGGTTTGTCATTGTAAGTTAAGCAGATAGGCAAAAGAGGAAGTGAAGGAAAATTATGGTTCAATGAAAAGAAGGAAATCGATGTGGATATAAGTATGAAGGAACACGCGCTAAGCATGCCAATTGCCCGACGAACGAGCAAGAAAAGGCCTGCGGCACGGGAAGGCTGTGACTTGGATAAACCGATCAGGGCCGTTGAATGAACGAGGTAAACATGAACACCGGCAAAGGTAACTAGACACGAGGCGTAGTTGTGCAAAACTGGGCAAGGGGTGGTGGTAGGATGAAGCGTGTTTTTTAAATCAGCGGAATGAGGCACTTGAAGTGGGAGAAGTGAGTTAACTTTTGGACGTTAAGGAATGAATTTAAGTTATACTTGATTGATATCCCGAAGAAGGACTTGTGTAAGTTGGTTTATTGTATTTTGGGTCCTAGACAATCATCGCGGTCTTTCATTATTTTCCGCTTCGAAAACACCAAACGAGGAGACGGACCGTAAGACAGCTTAAGGGAAGCACTAACGCGTTGGAAAAGCTGTGTTCTTCTCTGTGCAACGCGGAAATTGCATTGTTGACATCAGATCGGGGTTCGAGCCTCGTGGCCATTTCTAGTGCGGACACCTTTCACATAACGGCAAATACCGATTATTATCAGATATACCGTAATCAGTGTCTACTGGCATAGTACTACCATGATGATACACAATGGCTTCTATGATCTACTCGCAATGCCCACCACATCCAGTTTTCTTTGGTATGGTGGATCTAATCAAGCTACCCTAAAGAAGGGTAGAAGAGTCACCAAAGCTTTGGTCTCCAGGCCCACAGGTTTCCTGTAGGTTATATTTTCGTTTTCAGCGTCAACTCCATCCAAACAGAGGGCGTTCCTAGGCATCTTGTCCACGCTTCAGACGCTGGTCAAGCGGAAGCCCTTTTGACTCGTTGGGGTCCAGATGGTTTGGGAAAGCTCGGAGGTCAGCCATCAGCGCATTATCTTAGCAGCATTCTAAGCCGGTAGTTTAGACCCGCGTTGGGCAGATCCAATAAAGTCTCGAGTAAGGCAATCCAACCAGGCCAGAGCAGTTAACCAGGTTATCAATGCTCTTAAACCGTCTCAAGATAGCACAGGCCACCCGCATCTCCTGAGAGTCATGAACGGTATGAGCACTACCACTACTTCGTCTACCATAACCACCGCTGCCCGTGAAAATGTCCACTTTTCTCCCGCGGATGGCTTGCCGGGGCAAAAATGGAACGGAGGCCTCAGGGCTCATCCGGAACTTGGCGAGTGCGACGATGACCTGGGCCTTACCTCTCCTGTTCCTTCACCCAGGCCAATTACTCCATCATTAGCTACCTTGGAGAAGGCGGTGTCCGCCCGGATCTATTTCGAGAACCTTTACTTTCCCCTTCTTCGGCAGACACCTTCTCGAGAACAACGAAGAATTGCCATGGAAAAGGATATGGTTATCATGCAATTGAATGAAGATCAGAAGGAAGCTTTACGTGCTCAGTGGCGCCTAAACGAAACGGAATATCTTCGCGAACGTCGAAGGAAAGTCGATGCTACAGCATTCATCAAACTAAAAACTATAGGTCACGGTATGTGTTCCTTGCGTTCCTGAAAGAGCATTCTCACAGAAAAAAATACTATCGATCAGGTGCGTTTGGGGTCGTGTCCCTAGTTAAGGAGCGAGCCACGGGACAGTTGTTTGCCATGAAACAGGTTCTCATTTTCCATTTTAATCTATCCATATGGTATTGTCTCCATATTAATTGTTCATTTCATTAGCTAAGAAAGAGTGATATGCTTCGGAAAGGACAAGAAGGTCACGTCCGTGCAGAACGTGATATCTTAAAATCTGCCTCACTCGTCGCTTCGCCCGGTGGCGCGGAGTGGATTGTGAAGCTGCACTACAGTTTTCAGGACCGCGATAATCTTTACCTGGTCAGTAGCTCTAACCCCGATATCCGCCATCTTCCTAAAATTCAGACGAACACATGAGTCACTGATTTCATTTCGATTTCATATCTTGACACATAATTATAGGTATTGGAATTTATGGGCGGTGGAGATCTCCTGAATCTTTTGATCGAGAGAGACGTATTCGAAGAAGACTTTACTCGTTTCTATGTCGCTGAGGTTGGCATCTTCTTTTTCTCGCACTACACATTGTTGAACGGCAGGCACATTTACCCCAGATGGTTTTAGCCATTGAAACTTGTCATAAGCATGGTTTCATTCATCGCGACATTAAACCTGATGTGAGTCTCGAAAAAAATAATAGATATTAAGGTCCGCTCTAGACTGATAACATGGCTATCCATGTGTTTCTGGACAGAACTTCCTGTTTGATCCGCAAGGACATATTCGTCTAAGCGATTTTGGACTCGCGTGAGTAGGAGGACCATTAGCGGAATTGGCCTACTTCCCCGTCCTCGTTGTCTATATGCTAAATATGTAGGTGTGACTCCACAGGACTGATCTACACTGGGCCCATGATACCTCCTGTCAGTGCGGAACAGGCTGAGTATGCGGAACATGAAACTCACCCGGCCACCGCAGATTATGAACAGCAGCGGCGTCAGCTGTTGCACAAACATGGTATAGACCTTGAGGACAGCAACGGCATCGGGGATGGAACCAGAACCAAAAGAATGGACCGCAAAGACGTCGAATTATTGATGGGCGACGGCAACGGCCAGAGCGGCATATTCACTTGGAGGGAGAAAAATC